TACCTCGGGGATAGCACGACAAGTACTGAAACGCAACGGGTGTGAGTGACCTACCAAAAGCGTTAATGATCTATCTCGATCATTAAAAGCACATACGGTTCACACAAAAATGAGTGATCCGACGACAGATTGTCGTCGGAAACGTCAGACAAACCCGCTCTATGAATAAACCTTCACTTATACCCCAATACTTGACCCGGTATGCGGCCTATCGTCAATGCTAGGAATCAACTTAGACTGTACACCCTCGAAATAAATATGTACACTTCAGTAAACAAAATATCAGGACTACAGCTTGGCAGTACCAGTGAATTAGATCATTTTCACGTAGCCAGCCAAACTAAAGCTTTATCATGGTACTGGTCACGTTTCCTGAAAAAAAAAAACGCATACCTCAAAATTGACATGATTAATGAGCAACCTCCCACACATCCTGACACATCTTAGGTGAGGAAAAAAGAAAGGATCCATTATGATTATGAAGGTCGAGGTGAATATTGAAAGGTGGATGACTGGGTCGCAGGCTGGTCAGCAACGTGAACGCGGAAGTGTAGCTACAGCACGCTCTGCTCGTCTTACTCTATCATTCTCTGGTTCGCTCCAGCGTCATACGAATAAATATACTTTTCATGGGATTGGGAGTTTCCTCACCTGTCAAAAAACTATGCCGTAAAAAAAGTCTACATCATAACCAGATGGAAAAACGGCGGTCTCAAGCAACAACAAACGGCAAAGACCATTTTTAGCTCTAAAAATAACTTGGGATTTTTTGCAATTGGCGGCGTTTATTAGCCCAGGGAAATATGGGAGAAAAATATCACGCTGTCGTGATTCTAAAACTGCTGAAGTAGTTTTGAAATCAAAATGCAAATGAACAGCATTGTAAACCTTAACTTAATGCTGTTTAACAACTAATGCTAATTGTTGGCAACATGGAACAACGCTGAAGGAGCCCAACAGGCTTGATAAGATGATTAATGGATGATACGAACAGTAGCAGGCGTGACGATCTAGCAGATGAAGGCAGCAATGACAAGATTGGGAAAAGTAAGAAGACGAATAAAGCCTGTACGATTGGCAGAGGGAAGAAAACGGAATGATGAGAGTTATGGAGCACAACATACCCGCAATGTTAAGACCGTATTGCCGAGCCTCGTTAGCGAACGGGGAGACAAAGTTGGGATTTTCGGCCGCGTGCCTAGCACAATTGACCAAACGCGTTGCGCACAAATCCAGGAGGTCGTCCGATTCTGATGTACATTTAACGCCCTGTCAACGCGAAAAACAGAGTTTACAAAGGCTGGTAAAGAGAAGCATGATCGAAATAAGTCTTAGTGTTTGTATGCCGATAGGCAACAGGTATGGCATAAACACACCTTTAGTAAATAAGAAACGCTATCACGGGTTTACTCTTCTACGTAAAACTACGAAAGAATACTCGGCAAGACATAACAATAGGACCCTCTCCCCTCCGTCTAGTACTTCAATTAGCAGTGTTCTGACGATAACGTTAAAGCTAACCTGAAACCTCTGAGAATTTTGCACAAAGCTACCTATATTACAGGGGTTCCTGTGCCCATGTCTCACTGAACATTCAAAACATGCTAGGGTTGCGCTGTAAAAATAAGCCTGATTAGATTATAAGCATTGCTTTTATCCAGGCAATATGTGAGCTATGGAATAGAAGTTATCTCTGAGCAAAAGACTCACCTCTAGGGGTTGGACTTCTTGAAGGATCATTGAATCTGTCAGGTTGTCAAAAAGTCCATCTGTTCCTACGACCACTATATCGCCGGGTTCCAGTTTCACAGAACTTTGAATTGCTTGCTCGGGGCTGAAAGAAAAATGGTCTCAGTGCAGTAGAAGTGTGAGGATATCTCGGCGTCATTCCTCGACATCAATCTATATTTGGACACTGGTCAGTCTAAAGCGGTAAAGGCTTCATACAATTAGATTTACGGAGACTTTTATTTGCCATGACCGTAACCATAACAGCCTACAGCGTTGGAAAAGGATACTAAGTGGATGAGATTACACTTATTGTGGCACGCCGCTGGCTAGGCTGTGCTGCTGAGCATTCCAAACCAGTGGTCATAACCAGCGGATATTCTCCCACAAACGACATATAAAGGGGTCCATTGGTTGATGGTCTTCCTACTGGGGAACCGTAGACATACATACGTAGCACATACATTTAAATCAGTTAGTCCACTGGAGTTGCAAGCAATAGGGCATGTTAGGTTCTAATTATATTGCGACTGGCGGGCTATTCTTAAAGATTATTTACCTGTTGCGTGCGAGGAATACGTCTACTAGTATAGTAGTCAGAATGTGGGCAATGCTTCAAAGATAATAGCATCCTCACATGAGGTTACAACACGCAGCCTCCAAATCACGCATCCTCTCTGTGATCAAGACTGGTATCTGGCAAGACCGCTGTTTAATACTGACTCGAAAGGGGATATTTCACCTGTGTTATTCATGTAAGAGGTGACTCACTACAGCACTGATACTATTACAGTGTGCCATTTTCAAACGTTTGCAGCAGGTGTAGATTAAACAAAGAGGCACAGCATTTTCAAGCGCCTAATTTCACGACCACTTAATTAGGAGTATAAAATTGCGAGGCCAGAAAAAAAAACTAGAGGTTTACTCACCCATCTCGATGGAAGTGCCCGTGTTCATTGGGTGGCAGGCAAGCAAGTTGAAAGGGCGTGTTTAAGGCGTGCTTTTGGTGGGCAGACCGCTGGAGGATGCCCCCACGCCGGATTATTAGGTAACCGGAGTCACCGAGGCAGACTGTGTACAGACGCCCGTCACTCCGGCAAAGGGAGATTATACAAAAGGTGGCGCTGCCTACAGAGAAAGTGTGAGGGGGGGTGGAAATAAACGGGGCTTTATCAAAACTGACATCCTTTAAAAGGACGAAAAGGAACAAAATGCACAGAGAAAAACGAGATGAGTAGAACCCTACACAACAGGGGAGTTCTCCTTAATTCGCGTCTATAGAACAAGCTTGTAGTAGTTAGCCTTTCGCGTCATCTACCGCACTTTTTATTTCAGCATCCACCAGAGTCAGGACAATCGGTGGTGGGCGTGGATGCAGTAGTTGAGGAGGATGAAGCCAGGTATACGCGCATGCCGCATATACCCTGGTCCCTACCTTTACAACACCCAGTTTTATAAGTGCTGTTTCCTAATCTTACACCGGAATTACTGTCACATCGAGGATGGTATTGCAATATGGCCCACATCTCAAAGAGGATCGAATTGATTGATTTTCAAGTGAAATTGGCAGTTGACGACCGTCCAAGTTACGACTTTTAGGGCGTCCAGATAGCTGCATAAGGTGGGGTTCATTAAAAAGGGTAATCCAGTATTGGTTTAAATCTCTCCCTTCCGTATCTAATGCCGAACCTGTCAGCTGATTGATGGTGAGATTGGAGGCTATGGTTACCAAGGCATTAGCTTCTGTCGAAAGGCTGCCATAAACAGAAGTAGCGGTACATGCCAGAATGCAGACTAACAACAGGATAATGAGGAACGCGGCTAGACACAGAGCGGAATGAAGAGGGCTCAGCGAATAACAGATCTAACAGTTGTATCGTGCTTACTTGAATCCTGCTAAAAACAGTATAGTAAGAGCGGCAGAACTGAGTCAATATAAACCAGGTTACTAACTGTAAGAACAGCGACGTCATGCCAAGTGTTCAAGTTTGAAGGACGTAAATAAGGTGGCGTGCTTGATAGTCCCTTCTAAGAAGTAAACGAGGTAAAATGTTCAAGACTGCTAAAGACTGTGAAGCCGAAAATACAACTGACATTCGGTGGTAGAAGGCATTTAGTAGATGGCCTAACTCATAAAATGTGAAAATTGAAATTTCAGAGGGTAGTATGACACAGGTTTGGGGTAGTTATCTTTGTTCGTTGAATTTATTTGAGGCACGGAAAGCTATTTACTAACAATGAGCTTGTTTCCTGCCCCTTGACTCTGAACACTGGACACCGGTGCCCCTGTAGTGTTAATACTAATCTGACACTCGTTCACCCCTTTCCGCTCACCCTTGTTGATTAACTTTCATCCCTACCTTCTTACACTCGTTGATTAACATTCACCCCCGCCTCCTTACGAACACTTGATTTTTGCCTATATAATCCTAACCACTCTTCATCCCTTTTCAGTTCATGTACGACAATTATAAGATGAGTAAAGCCCAATTCTAGGGTACTCGACTTCTCATTCTTCATGACTGTTCGGCTATTGCGTACTGAATAACTCGACTATACCCCAATCACGACAGCCCCCATCCATTGGTTATTTTTTGTCGCTGACGTTCCCTGTGACATTCTTAGTGCAGACCTCGTTGCAGCTTTCGATCTCCTGGTCCACTGCCGACAGTCCTATCCACACAACCCGACTCCAATCTCGTTGCCTGGGGTAGCTCTCCTTCTGATGCATCCCATCAGCTAGCCATCCGGAATCCGGACCTGGAAAGTCTATTTCAGTATTATATCGCCAAATACCCGGCTAGAATTCAGCACCTCTAACACAGCGCAGGACATTATTCTTCATACACAGTAGATGAGCCAACTTATGAAATGTCGAGATAGAAATTTAAAGGAGTAGTATGGCACACGTTTGTGATTGTTATGGTTTTGAATTGATTTGCGGCGCACAAAGCGGCTTGCTAAAGAAGAATTCGGTTCACATCAGTGCTATAAAAGGAAAACAGGCCAATAGATCTTCCATGCTATTAACAGCTACAGGTCACAACCTCGTGTTTGTGCCTCTTGTGCTATAAAAAACATTAATATAAACACAACAAGTTTTAAACAAGCACTTCATGGAAACGAAAAAGCGAGTTTTGCGTCTACGAAGGTCAGCCGGGGCTGGTAAGAGAGCAATAATGTTGTTCTTGAGAGAAAAACAGCAAATTCAGTTTCAACTATTTTTGACGTTTTGTGCCATAAAAATCAGTAAAAAACTTGTTTGACTGTAGTTTTTAAGGGAAACTACAGCTATAAGCTATTACAAATCACAAGTATAATTAGAAAACATGTAGAACCGGCGACAGGCTCAGTCTTTTTGGTCAGTTCGTACGACTGAGATGCCCAAACAGTTCATGTCTGCAATGAACTACGAAATTACGAAAGTTCGCAGCGGTTTTGTCAGGTGAACCGTTGACAAGTACTTTAAATATAAGTAAGGTCACCCTACGGCGCCTTATTAAAGCTAGAATCGTGTCTCCAGAAGTAAGCGGAGTGGACCAAGACAGTTCACGAGTAAGCAAGACGACTATTCGTCGTACACCAAAAAGTATCAATATATGCCCATCGCGACCATTCACAAGGAAAACCTGCCAATGTTCTTGGTGGACATAAATAATAAACGGATACAGAAATTTGAACTTCACCGGCAAAGGGCCACAAACAAACTGTTCTTAAGTAGGATAATTGTCCGCAAAAGTTTTTGGCTTGCTTAGAACTAAATTTAGTAGGGCCTTCATTCTAGAGGAGCCTTTACTTCAGCGATGAGAATATATTTTTATAAAAGTCTGTGAAGTTAAGCCAGATGGTCATAGATGGGGAACTCTTCAAGAGAGGACACCGTACCGACTGTAACCCTCAAAAACTAGTGACGCTAAAAAAATTGGAAGGGGGTCAGTCTGGCGGTCGACCACGGAAACAATCAATAACAAGGTGTTTATCGATATTCTGAAGAACGTCTTCGGCTACAACGGCATTCAAGGACACAGAATGGTCACCATAATTTTACACGATAATTGTTCTGTTCATCACCCTAAAAATGTAATAATCCGATCATCATATAATCTAACTTTTCAGACAACCGCCACGCGGCCTCCAATCTACTTGTACTCTTACCAACACCTTGTAACGTAATCCTATTGAAAACCTATGTGCGAATATCAAGGGGAAAGGAGAATCTTTCCATAAAAGAAAAGGTCGATCTCGTGATAAATAATCAAACCGAACAAACCACTAGACATCCTGGCTATCGCTATATCTGGCAGACTTTACACGGCTTTCAATGCAAGTAGACAGTCAAAAA